CCCCCAACGTGCACTCACAACCTAACATTACGCACAGCACCCATCCCATCCATCAGCACCCAACCCACCCATCAGCACCCATGCCATCACTGAGCAGTGTTAAACCGCTCAGCGGGGGTCGTGGACCACACACATCTCATTTTACCGCACTCACAGAATCCGCTTTGTAATTGTGCTGTATAATGCAGCACAATATCGCCGCTTCGAAGAGTTGGGCATCCAACGCGGGGGAAACAGCGGAAACAGTGGGTGGATGGGCTGGGGCAAGGCAGGGAAATTTGATGGAGAGTACCTCAAAGTTTGATGCAAAAACGCATGATCGCACCGGCTCGCCTGGTGCGTTCCAGCCTGGACTTTTTTCTATGCAGCTTTGCACTTCTCGGCCGATGCACCTACTTGTTGTTCGATTCTACTTTGTTTGCCTGATTTTAATATCGCTTTACAGTCCTTCCAAGCCGAATGACTGTAACGCCTTTTAAGAGAGAAAGGGTGAAGCTGCCGTCACTTTTTATGCGTTTTTGCCGTGCGGCGCTAGAGCTCTGCAACAGCAGCAAAAATGCATACTGCAACGATCCTGTCAGTATGTGTGTGTCCGTCTGTCCGGGTATTTCAACTCGCTAACCACGCATTGAAGTTGAAATTTTGCCGGTGTGTTCCCCAGCCAAGTGCCGCCCTAAGACCGCGGTGTCAACCCTCATGCACGTCTGGGCCCCGCGTATGAGCACGTGAAACTTTTGGCGTGAAAATTGTTAACTCGGCAAAAAGAAAAGCTAGAAAGCTAAAACTTCAAGGTAATGTTCCCTACCCGTGTATGACAAAAAGGAGAAAAGCTAAAAAGCTGACTCGAAAACGAGAAAAGCTAAAAAGCTGAAACTTTAGGGTAGTGTTCCCTACTCATGTAGCACCAAAATCAGGTGTTTGGAAGCGCGCGGGCCCACGTACGGGCACATGAAATTTTGGCGGGAAAACTACTAATCCGGGAACGAGAAAACCTAGAAAGCTGAAAGTTTAGGAGACTGCTCTTCATTCATGTACGACCAAAAGATTTCAGATTCAGCTCCTTAAAACCGTCTGATACTTAAGTAAGGACACGTGAAAATTTTGATGGGAAAACTGCTAACTCGGAAATGAGAAAATTTGGAAGGTTTTAATTTTAAGGGAATGTCCCCTGCTCATATGTGACTAAAGATTTCAAATTCAATTCTTCAAGTGCAGCTTTTTTCGCGGACCAGCAACTTTCCATTTGTCAGGTCGCTGAAGCCGACATCTACAGTTGAAATGCCACATAGCTGCACAATTAACTTCCCGAACTTCAAGGGCCAGTATGTCACAGGGTTAGCTACTGCGATTCTTTGCAATCTTGCTACGGCACGAAAAGTACAAAAACGCATGATCGCACCGGATCTCCTGGCGCGTTCCAGCCTGAGTTTCCACGTCAGCTATCGTCCGAGCATGTCACTGAACTCATGATGCACAAATACTATTAATTTGTCTGAAGAGACGAAAATTTCTTGGAGCTGGAAAAACATATTTAGATGCACAAATTTGTACATCGCTCTTCAGTAAATTACGGCTGGTGCGGAGGAGGTGGCCTTGATGGCCCTGCTTTAAGAAGATTGCAAGGACAAATTTATGTAGATTCTGCTAAAAATTTGTATGAGATAGTTGAGTAAATTCGTTTGCAATAATCGAACGTACAGATGATGACCACGCTGGTGTGTTTTCTTTCGAGCACGATCATTTTCAAGTGGTTGAAAATTGTGGTTACTTGTCGCTGAACGTGCAAAGAAGCTCCGGCTGTCGCGGAAAAGTCGTTGTACCGTATAGGTGAGTTATTATCGCTCAGCAGTCGTATTCTCGCAAACAATACTCAAGTGAGGATTGCGACAGATACATTTTACAATTA